CCATAAATTTTTCCCATATGGGATTTTAGAAACACTTAAAATGAGTGCTGTGTTTCGTGTAGGCTTACCATGGCGTGACGTTTTCATAACCATTTAAATCTCTCCCGGACAAGGTGACTTTTATCAATATATTCAGCTCTATTTACTCTGATTCGAAAATGCTAATTATCATCAAAGTAGACATCATGCAAAACTACAAATCCCTGCAAGCTCCTGCACATAATCTCTAGCTGACACCCTTGCTAACAGGTATTGTGTCAATTATTATTTTTTGCACAAGACAGTTCATAGAATTGTCCATTTAAAGAAATGTAGCCAATGTATTAATACTACATGTAGCTAACATTAGATAGTTAATCCAGAGACCTTTGCCTCGATTGGGCAGTCTCATCCAGATCATCATGGCATTTGTAGTTCTTTATGATTGCCACATTAGCAGCTAATTAGCATTTCATTTTTGGGGGGTAAATACAGGCATTCAGAAAGTATTCACTTTTTCCACATTTTGTTACGTTACAACCTTATTCTAAAATGGATTAAATCGTTTTTCTTCTTCTCATCAATCTACACACAATACCCCATAATGACAAAGCAAAAACAGGCTTTTAGAAGTTTTTGCACATTTATTGCAAATTAATAACTTAAATATCACATTGACATAAGTATTCAGACCCTTTACTCAGTACTTTCTTGAAGCGCCTTTGGCAGCGATTACAGCCTCGAGTCTTCTTGGGTATGACGCATGGCACAACAGTATTTGTCTGCAGATCCTCTCAAGCTCTGTCAGGTTGGATGGGGAGCGTCGCTGCACCGCTATTTTCAGGTCTCTCCAGAGATGTTCGATCGGGTTCAAGCCTGGGCTCTGGCTGGGCCACTCTAGGACATTCAGAAACTTGTCCCGAAGCCACTCCTGCATTGTCTTGGCTGTGTGCTTAGGGTCATTGTCCTGTTGGAAGGTGAACCTTCGCCCCAGTCTGAGGTCCTGAGCGCTCTGGAGCCGGTTTTCATCAAGGATCTCTCTGTACTTTGCTACGTTCATCTTTCCTCTCGATCCTGACTAGTCTCCCAGTCCCTGCCGCTGAAAAACATCCCCACAGCATAATGCTACTACCACCATGCTTCACCATAGGGATGGTGCCAGTTTTCCTCCAGACATGACGCTTGGCATTCAGGCCAAAGAGTTCAATCTTGGTTTCATCAGACCAGAGAATCTTGTTTCTCATGGTCTGAGTCCTTTAGGTACCTTTTGACAAACTCCAAGCGGTGGTCAAATCAAATCAAATCAAATCAAATTTTATTGGTCACATGCGCCGAATACAACAGGTGCAGACATTACAGTGAAATGCTTACTTACAGCCCTTAACCAACAGTGCATTTATTTTAAACAAAAAAAGTAAGAATAAAACAACAACAAAAAAGTGTTGAGAAAAAAAGAGCAGAAGTAAAAATAAAGTGACAGTAGGGAGGCTATATATACAATAGAATAAAGTGACAGTAGGGAGGCTATATATACAGGGGGGTACCGTTGCATAGTCAATGTGCGGGGGCACCGGCTAGTTGAGGTAGTTGAGGTAATATGTACATGTGGGTAGAGTTAAAGTGACTATGCATAAATACTTAACAGAGTAGCAGCAGCGTAAAAAGTATGGGGTGGGGGGGCAGTGCAAATAGTCCGGGTAGCCATGATTAGCTGTTCAGGAGTCTTATGGCTTGGGGGTAGAAGCTGTTGAGAAGTCTTTTGGACCTAGACTTGGCACTCCGGTACCGCTTGCCGTGCGGTAGCAGAGAGAACAGTCTATGACTAGGGTGACTGGAGTCTTTGACAATTTTGAGGGCCTTCCTCTGACACCGCCTGGTATAGAGGTCCTGGATGGCAGGGAGCTTTGCCCCTGTGATGTACTGGGCCGTACGCACTACCCTCTGTAGTGCCTTGCGGTCAGAGGCCAAGCAGTTGCCATACCAGGCGATGATGCAACCAGTCAGGATGCTCTCGATGGTGCAGCTGTAGAATTTTTTGAGGATCTGAGGACCCATGCCAAATCTTTTTAGTCTCCTGAGGGGGAATAGGCTTTGTCGTGCCCTCTTCACGACTGTCTTGGTGTGTTTGGACCATGATAGTTCGTTGGTGATGTGGACACCAAGGAACTTGAAGCTCTCAACCTGTTCCAGTACAGCCCCGTCGATGAGAATGGGGGCGTGCTTTTACGGAGTCATGTGCCTTTTACGGAGGAGTGGCTTCCGTCTGGCCACTCTACCATAAAGGCCTGATTGGTGGAGTGCTGCAGAGATAGGTGTCCTTCTGGAAGGTTCTCCCATCTCCACAGAGGAACTCTGGAGCTCTGTCAGAGTGACCATCAGGTTCTTGGTCACCTCCCTAAACAAAGCCCTTCTTCCCCGATTGCTCAGTTTGTCTGGGCGGCCAGCTCTAGGAAGAGTCTTGGTGTTTCCAAACTTCTTCAATTTAAGAATGATGGAGGCCACTGTGTTCTTGGGGACCTTCAATGCTGCAGGCATTTTTTGGTACCCTTCCCCAGATCTGTGCCTGGACACAATCCTGTCTCGGCGCTCTAAGGACAATTCCTTCAACCTCATGGCTTGGTTTTTGCTCTGACATGCACTGTCGACTGTGGGACCTTATATAGACAGGTGTGTGCCTTTCCAAATCATGTCCAATCAACTAAATTTACCACAGGTGGACTCCAATCAAGTTGTAGAAACATCTCAAGGATGATCAATGGAAAAAGGATGCACCTGAGCTCAATTTCGAGTCTCATAGCAAAGGGTCTGAATACTTATGTAAATAAGGTATTTCTGTTTTTTATTTTTAATACATTTCTAATAATTTTTTGCTTTGTCATTATGGGTTATTGTGTGTAGATTGATGAGGAAAAGCATTTATTTAATGCAGTACTTTCCGAATGCACTGTATAAAAGTCACCTTGTCCTAGAGAGAGTTACACCAGGGTAAGCCTACACAAAACACAGTCCTTATTTTAAGTGTTTCTAAAATCCCCTATGGGAAAAATGAATGGTGGAAAAACGATTGGAACCATTTCCCTGTTTGACCGCTAGGTTTTATGGGTATTATAACTGATACTGTGGTACTCTATATCTCCTCACGATCACCGCGTTTTTCTGTAACAGGCGTAAAACACAGACCGGACAAGTAGATGCGCAATGGATTATGGTCATTGTAGTTAATTTCCACGTTAAATGTGCTAAGCTGTGTAGAATATTGGGCTGTTTGAAACTACAATTCTGTACTACATCGAACAGTTCAGGCTGGATCTGATTTATCTCTAGAGAAACTGTGATGTGCGCGTTGAGTTCACAGAAAAAAAGCGAATGAAATGGAATTCAAATAACTGATCCGACGTTAGTCAATTAGTTGTTTAAAACCCCCCAAAAATTACCAACATTTTGGTTAATCGCTCAGCGCTAGTGGAATCCACTCATTACCTGTATTAATGGCACCTGTTTGAACTTGTTATCAGTATAAAAGACACCTGTCCACAACCTCAAACAGTCACACTCCAAACTCCACTATGACCAAGACCAAAGAGCTGTCAAAGGACACCAGAAACAAAATTGTAGACCTGCACCAGGCTGGGAAGACTGAATCTGCAATAGGGAAGCAGCTTGGTTTGAAGAAATCAACTGTGGGAGCAATTATTAGGAAATGGAAGACATACAAGACCACTGATAATCTCCCTCGATCTGGGGCTCCACGCAAGATCTCACCCCGTGGGGTCAAAATGATCACAAGAACGGTGAACAAAAATCCCAGAACCACACGGGGGGACCTAGTGAATGACCTGCAGAGAGCTGGGACCAAAGTAACAAAGCCTACCATCAGTAACACACTACGCCGCCAGGGACTCAAATCCTGCAGTGCCAGACGTGTCCCCCTGCTTAAGCCAGTACATGTCCAGGCCCGTCTGAAGTTTGCTAGAGTGCATTTGGATGATCCAGAAGAGGATTGGGAGAATGTCATATGGTCAGATGAAACCAAAATAGAACTTTTTGGTAAAAACTCAACTTGTCGTGTTTGGAGGACAAAGAATGCTGAGTTGCATCCAAAGAACACCATACCTACTGTGAAGCATGGGGGTGGAAACATCATGCTTTGGGGCTGTTTTTCTGCAAAGGGACCAGGACGACTGATCCGTGTAAAGGAAATAATGAATGAATGTATCGTGAGATTTTGAGTGAAAACCTCCTTCCATCAGCGAGGCCGTTGAAGATGAAACGTGGCTGGGTCTTTCAGCATGACAATGATCCCAAACACACCGCCCGGGCAATGAAGGAGTGGCTTCGTAAGAAGCATTTCAAGGTCCTTGAGTGGCCTAGCCAGTCTCCAGATCTCAACCCCATAGAAAATCTTTGGAGGGAGTTGAAAGTCTGTGTTGCCCAGCGACAGCCCCAAAACATCACTGCTCTAGAGGAGATCTGCATGGAGGAATGGGCCAAAATACCAGCAACAGTGTGTGAAAACCTTGTGAAGACTTACAGAAAACGTTTGACCTGTGTCATTGCCAACAAAGGGTATATAACAAAGTATTGAGAAACTTTTGTTATTGACCAAATACTTATTTTCCACCATAATTTGCAAATAAATTCATTAAAAATCCTACAATGTGATGTTCTGGATTTTTTTTTCTCATTTTGTCTGTCATAGTTGACGTGTACCTATGATGAAAATTACAGGCCTCTCTCATCTTTTTAAGTGGGAGAACTTGCACAATTGGTGGCTGACTAAATACTTTTTTTCCCCACTGTATATCATACCATCAATGAGCTTTAATTGAGACCATTTTCTGCTAACCTACTTTTCTGGGCAAACTTTGATCACCCTGGCCTGACCATACCAAGTAAATCAATAACTACACCATAGTGATAAAATGTATTTGATACACCCACTTAGGAAGCAGTGAAAAAGTATTCTTGAATGTCCGATGGACTGTCTATTTTAACATTTCCCTTTCTTCTCACAGGCAGCAATGAAACTGTTAGAGAACAGCAGTTTTGAAGCTCTGGGCTCTCAACTCTGTGTTGAAACGGGAGAGTCTCACATCCTGGGCAGGTAATTACCATCACAGCACTGGAGCAGCAGTAGATCAAACGACCTCATTTCTAGTCACATGGTACAAAGTGTTCTGTAAAGGCTGCCATGGTACAAAGTGTTCTGTAAAGCCTACCATACTGTTGCATGACTAACACATAGGTTCAAAATTTAACAGGGTCTAAATGTACTGGCCGTTAGTAGGCTTGTGTCTGAACCGCAAGTACGTAGCCCAACCCCTCCTCGGGTGTATTTCTGATTGGGTTAAGAGGCTCTATTTTAAAAGGCAAGATTAACACTGGGGCTCTGTGGAAGCGTCAATAACAACATATGTCAAGGCTGAGGACACTGGCACTGGTATGTAAACACAGAGATAAACAACAAACTGTCAGAATGAGATGGTCAACTGAACTTTAAAAATATATATATATGCAGTGCCTTCGGAAAGTATTCAGACCCCTTGACTTTTTCCACATTTTGTTACGTTACAGCCTTATTCTAAAATTGATTACATTTTATTTTTATTCATCAATCTGCACACAATACCCCATAATGATGAAGCAAAAAACGTTTTTTAGAAAATTTTGCTAATGTATAAAAAATGTAAAACTGAAGTATCACATTTTCATAAGTTTTCAGACCCTTTACTCAGTACTTTGTTGAAGCACCTTTGGCAGCGATTACAGCATCGAGTCTTCTTTAGTATGACGCTACAAGCTTGGCACATCTGTATTTGGAGAGTTTCTCCCATTCTTTACAGATCCTCTCAAGCTCTGTCAGGTTGGATAGGGAGCGTTGCTGCACAGCTATTTTCAGGTCTCTCCAGAGATGTTCGATCGGGTTCAAGTCCGGGCTCTGGCTGGGCCACTCAGGGACATTCAGAGACTTGTCCCGAAGCCACTTCTGCGTTGTCTTGGCTGTGTGCTTAGGGTCATTGTCCTGTTTGAAGGTGAACCTTCGCCCCAGTCTGAGGTCCTGAGCACTCTGGAGCAGGTTTTCATCAAGGAGCTCTCTGTACTTTGTTCCGTTCATCTTTGCCTCGATCCTGACTAGTCTCCCAGTCCCTGCCGCTGAAAAACATCCCCACAGCATGATGCTGCTGCCACCACCATGCTTCACCGCAGGGATGGTGCCAGTTTTCCTCCAGACGTGACACTTGTCATTCAGGCCAAAGAGTTCAATCTTGGTTACATCAGACCAGAGAATCTTGTTTCTCATGGTCTGAGAGTCTTTAGGTGCCTTTTGGCAAACTGCAAGCGGGCTATCGTGCCTTTTACTGAGGAGTGGCTTCCGTCAAGCCACTCTACCATAAAGGCCTGATTGGTGGAGTGCTGCAGAGATGGTTGTCCTTCTTTAAGGTTCTCCCATTTCCACAGAGGAACTCTAGAGCTCTGTCAGAGTGACCATCAGGTTCTTGGTCACCTCCCTGACCAAGGCCCTTCTCCCCCGATTGCTTATTTTTTCCGGGCGGCCAGCTCTGGGAAGAGTCTTGGTGGTTCCAAACTTCTTCCATTTAAGAATGATGGGGGCCACTGTGTTCTTGGGGACCTTCAATGCTGCAGAAATGTTCTGATCTGTGCCTGGACACAATCCTGTCTCGGAGCTCTATGGACAATTCCTTCCTCATGGCTTGGTTTTTGCTCTGACATGCACTGTTAACTGTTGGGACCTTATATAGACAGGTGTGTGCCTTTCCAAATCATGTCCAATCAATTGAATTTACCACAGGTGGTCTCCAATCAAGTTGTAGAAACATCTCAAGGATGATCAATGGAAACAGGATGCACCTGAGCTCAATTTCGAGTCTAATAGTAAAAGGTTTTTAATTTTTAATACATTTCTAAAACACTGTTTTCGCTTTGTCATTATGGCGTATTGTGTGTAGATTGCATAGGGAGAAAAAATATTTAATCAATTTTAGAATAAGGCTGTAATGTAACAAAATGTGGAAAAGATCAATGGGTCTGAATACTTTCCGAAGGCACTGTGTGTATACTCTGCCGTTCAAAGGTTTGGGGTCACTTAGAAATGGCCTTGTTTTTGAAAGAAAAGCAATTTTTTTGTCCATTAAAATAACATCAAATTGATCAGAAATACAGTTTAGACATTGTTAATGTTGTAAATGGCTATTGTAGCTGGACTCGGCTGATTTTTTTAATGGAATATCTACAATATCTACACGCAAAACACCAGTCTCAACGTCAACAGTGAAGAGGTGACTCCGGGATGCTGACCTTCTTGGCAGAGTTGCAAAGAAAAAGCCATATTTCAGACTGGCCAATAAAAAGAAAAGATTAAGACAGTAATGTATTTGTCCTCTTGCACAGTTGTGCACCGGGGCCTCCCACTCCTCTTTCTATTCTTGTTAGAGCCAGTTTGCGCTGTTCTTTGAAGGGAGTAGTACACAGCGTTGTATGAGATATTCCGTTTCTTGGCAATTTCTCGCATGGAATAGCCTTCATTTCGCAGAACAAGAATAGACTGACGAGTTATTTGTTTCTGGCCATTTTGAGCCTGTAATCGAACCCACAATTGCTGATGCTCCAGATACTCAACTAGTCTCAAGAAGGCCAGTTTTATTGCTTTTCTTTCGAAAACAAGGACATTTGTAAGTGACCCCAAACTTTTGAACGGTAGTATATATATATATATATACAGTGAGGGAAAAAAGTATTTGATCCCCTGCTGATTTTGTACGTTTGCACACTGACAAAGAAATGATCAGTCTATAATTTTAATGGTAGGTTTATTTGAACAGTGAGAGACAAAATAACAACAACAAAATCCAGAAAAACGCATATCAAAATTTTTATAAATATATTTTTATTTTAATGAGGGAAATAAGTATTTGACCCCTCTGCAAAACATAACTTAGTACTCGGTGGCAAAACCCTTGTTGGCAATCACAGAGGTCAGACGTTTCTTGTAGTTGGCCACCAGGTTTGCACACATCTCAGGAGGGATTTTGTTCCACTCCTCTTTGCAGATCTTCTCCAAGTCATTAAGATTTCGAGGCTGACGTTTGGCAACTCGAACATTCAGCTCCCTCCACAGATTTTCTATGGGATTAAGGTCTGGAGACTGGCTAGGCCACTCCAGGACCTTAATGTGCTTCTTCTTGAGCCACTCCTTTGTTGCCTTGGCCGTGTGTTTTGGTTCATTGCCATGCTGGAATACCCATCCACGACCCATTTTCAATGCCCTGGCTGAGGGAAGGATGTTCTCACCCAAGATTTGATGGTACATGGCCCCGTCCATCGTCCCTTTGATGCGGTGAAGTTGTCCTGTCCCCTTAGCAGAAAAACACCCCCAAAGCATAATGTTTCCACCTCCATGTTTGACGGTGGGGATGGTGTTCTTGGGGTCATAGGCAGCATTCCTCCTCCTCCAAACACGGCGAGTTGAGTTGATTCCAAAAAGCTCAATTTTGGTCTCATCTGACCACACCACTTTCACCCAGTTCTCCTCTGAATCATTCAGATGTTCATTGGCAAACTTCAGACGGCCCTGTATATGTGCTTTCTTGAGCAGGGGGACCTTGCGGGCACTGCAGGATTTCAGTCCTTCACGGCATAGTGTGTTACCAATTGTTTTCTTGGTGACTATGGTCCCAGCTGCCTTGAGATCATTGACATGATCCTCCCGTGTAGTTCTGGGCTGATTCCTCACCGTTCTCATGATCGTTGCAACTCCACGAGGTGAGATCTTGCATGGAGCCCCAGGCCGAGGGAGATTGACAGTTATTTTGTGTTTCTTCCATTTGCGAATAATCGCACCAAATGTTGTCACCTTCTCACCAAGCTGCTTGGCGATGGTCTTGTAGCCCATTCCAGCCTTGTGTAGCTCTACAATTTTGTCTCTGACATCCTTGGAGAGCTCGTTGGTCTTGGCCATGGTGGAGAGTTTGGAATCTTATTGATTGATTGCTTCTGTCTCAGCTCATTACCTGTATAAAAGACACCTGTGAGCCAGAAATCTGTCTGATTGAGAGGTGGTCAAATACTTATTTCCCTCATTAAAATGCAAATCAATTTATAAAAACATTAGTTTTTCTGGATTTTTTTGTTGTTATTCTGTCTCTCACTGTTCAAAGTATGTGAGTAAGAAGTAAGTAAGTAAGAATGTGAAATGTCAGAATAATAGTAGAGAAAATAATTTCTTTCAGATTTTATTTATTTCATCAGATTCCCAGTGGGTCAGAAGTTTACATACACTCAATTAGTATTTGGTAGCATTGCCTTTAAATTGTTTAACTTGGGTCAAACTTTTCGGGTAGCCTTCCACAAGCTTCCCACAATAAGTTGGGTGAATTTTGTTAAGTCAGGTTTGTAGGCCTCCTTGCTCGCACACGCTTTTTCAGTTCTGCCCACAAATGTTCTATAGAATTGAGGTCAGGGCTTTGTGATGTCCACTCCAATACCTTGACTTTGTTGTCCTTAAGCATTTTTGCCACAACTTTGGAAGTATGCTTGGGGTCATTGTCCATTTGGAAGACCCATTTGCGACCAAGCTTTAACTTCCTGACTGATGTCTTGAGATGTTACTTCAATATATCCACATAATTTTCCTTCCTCATGATGCCATCTATTTTGTGAAGTGCACCAGTCCCTCCTGCAGCAAAGCACCCCCACAGCATGATGCTGCCACCCCCGTGCTTCACGGTTGGGATGGTGTTCTTCGGCTTGCAAGCCAACCCCTTTTCCTCCAAACATAATTATGGTCATTATGGCCAAACAGTTCTATTTTTGTTTCATCAGACCAGAGAACATTTCTCCAAAAAGTACGATCTTTGTCCCCATGTGCAGTTGCATACCGTAGTCCTGGCTTTTTTATGGTGGTTTTGGAGCAGTGGCTTCTTCCTTGCTGAGCGGCTTTTCAGGTTATGTCTATATAGGACTCGTTTTACTGTGGAAATAGATACTTTTGTACCTGTTTCCTCCAGCATCCTCACAAGGTCCTTTGCTGTTGTTCTGGGATTGATTTGTACGTTCATCTCTAGGAGACAGAACGCGTCTCCTTCCTGAGCGGTATGACGGCTGCATGGTCCCATGGTGTTTATAGTTGCACACTATTGTTTGTACAGATGAACGTGGTACCCTCAGGTGTTTGAAAATTGCTCCCACTTGTGGAGGTCTACCATTTTATTTATGAGGTCTTGGCTGATTTCTTTTGATTTTCCCATGATGTCAAGCAAAGAGGCACTGAGTTTGAAGGTAGGCCTTTAAATACATCCACAGGTACACCTCCAATTGACTCAAATGATGTCAATTAGCCTATTTGAAGCTTCTAAAGCCATGACATCATTTTCTGGAATTTTTCAAGCTGTTGAAAGGCACAGTCAACTTAGTGTATGTAAACTTCTGACACACTGGAATTGTGATGCAGTGAATTACAGTGGGGAAAAAAAGTATTTAGTCAGCCACCAATTGTGCAAGTTCTCCCACTTAAAAAGATGAGAGAGGCCTGTAATTTTCATCATAGGTACACGTCAACTATGACAGACAAAATGAGAAAAACATTTCCAGAAAATCACATTGTAGGATTTCTAATGAATTTATTTGCAAATTATGGTGGAAAATAAGTATTTGGTCAATAACAAAAGTTTCTCAATACTTTGTTATATACCCTTTGTTGTCAATGACACAGGTCAAACGTTTTCTGTAAGTCTTTACAAGGTTTTCACACACTGTTGCTGGTATTTTGGCCCATTCCTCCATGCATATCTCCTCTAGAGCAGTGATGTTTTGGGGCTGTGGCTGGGCAACACGGACTTTCAACTCCCTCCAAAGATTTTCTATGGGGTTGAGATCTGGAGACTGGCTAGGCCACTCCAGGACCTTGAAATGCTTCTTACGAAGCCACTCCTTCGTTGCCCGGGCGGTGTGTTTGGGATCATTGTCATGCTGAAAGACCCAGCCACGTTTCATCTTCAATGCCCTTGCTGATGGAAGGAGGTTTTCACTAAAAATCTCACGATACATGGCCCCATTCATTCTTTCCTTTACACGGATCAGTCGTCCTGGTCCTTTTGCAGAAAAACAGCCCCAAATCATGATGTTTCCACCCCCATGCTTCACAGTAGGTATGGTGTTCTTTGGATGCAACTCAGCATTCTTTGTCCTCCAATCACGATGAGTTGAGTTTTTACCAAAAAGTTCTATTTTGGTTTCATCTGACCATATGACATTCTCCCAATCCTCTTCTGGATCATCCAAATGCACTCTAGCAAACTTCAGATGGGCCTGGACATGTACTGGCTTAAGCAGGGGGACACGTCTGGCACTGCAGGATTTGAGTCCCTGGCGGCGTAGTGTGTTACTGATGGTAGGCTTTGTTACTTTGGTCCCAGCTCTCTGCAGGTCATTCACTAGGTCCCCCCGTGTGGTTCTGGGATTTTTGCTCACCGTTCTTGTGATCATTTTGACCCCACGGGGTGAGATCTTGCGTGGAGCCCCAGATCGAGGGAGATTATCAGTGGTCTTGTATGTCTTCCATTTCCTAATAATTGCTCCCACAGTTGATTTCTTCAAACCAAGGTGCTTACCTATTGCAGATTCAGTCTTCCCAGCCTGGTGCAGGTCTACAATTTTGTTTCTGGTGTCCTTTGACAGCTCTTTGGTCTTGGCCATAGTGGAGTTTGGAGTGTGACTGTTTGAGGTTGTGGACAGGTGTCTTTTATACTGATAACAAGTTCAAACAGGTGCCATTAATACAGGTAATGAGTGGAGGACAGAGGAGCGTCTTAAAGAAGAAGTTATAGGTCTGTGAGAGCCAGAAATCTTGCTTGTTTGTAGGTGACCAAATACTTATTTTCCACCATAATTTGCAAATAAATTCATTAAAAATCCTACAATGTGATTTTCTGGAGAAAAAAAATCTCAATTTGTCTGTCATAGTTGACATGTACCTATGATGAAAATTACAGGCCTCTCTCATCTTTTTAAGTGGGAGAAATTGCACAATTGGTGGCTGACTAAATACTTTTTTTCCCCACTGTATAAGTGAAATAATATGTCTGTAATCAATTGTTGGAAAAATTACTTGTGTAATGCACAAAGTAGATGTCCTAACCGACTTGCCAAAACTATAGTTTGTAAACAAGAAATTTGTGGAGTGCTTGAAAATCGAGTTAAAATGACTCCAACCTAAGTGTATGTAAACTTCCGACTTCAGCTGTGTATATATATATGTGTATGTATACACACACACAAACTACCAATCCGTTTTTCTACCAAACACACACAAACCAAAACCACAACGATAGACACACCCCTTTCAGAGATTGATGTCATAAAACCTGAAGGGGGTGTGTCGCCTCATGAGGTGTGTCTGCTAAAGATTAATGGTGTAGGCTACCCGATTTAAGTACCTGAGCAGGACCAGATGAGGCAATATCGTGTGTTATGCAGTAAGATTGCCATAGAAATGTAGCCCCATTCAATCCCTATAGCGATTACTGGTAATATGGAACATTTAGCTAAATAGGCGTAATCTCTCTCGCAAAAAGTATTGATCCCACAAATAGGGTGATGGATGAATGTTTTTTTGTAATGCACAGGGGGTTAGATTAACTGAACTGCAGCAGAGGGGTATTGTAGGAACTCTATGAGTTAGCCAGGTAACTTTAATAAACAACCAGAAATAACTATTTATTTTCTGGTTCATAAAGAAAGCTAAACGTAGTTATTCCCACGGGGGGCCAGTATGAAAAAAATGTATGCACTCACTAACTGTATGCACTCACTAACTGTAAGTCACTCTGGATAAGAGCGTCTACTAAATGACTAAAATGTAAAAAATATGTGTTTTTGAATGTGGAGTTAAGCTTGAAATGGGCATGGTCTACTTATCTTTAAAAAACAACAACTTATTTTAGAATATTTAGGCAAGTTAGCAGGCTAACTCATTGATCCTTCTTGGTAGTATGCCCTTCAGGCTTTGAGGTAACAGTAGATGTTGCATAAAGGACTTTAGGTTATGAAACAAGTGGGTACGGTGATGGTGATGACCCCTATCCTGGCTGTGATCTATAGGGGAAGTCTGACGCAGGACAGGGTGTACTCTAGCATGCCTTTGTGTCTATTTGGAGACTGTGTAATGAAGAGTGGTATGTAGCGTAAACGAGTGACCCCTCTCATTGAATCCACAAAGTTCAAGGCCGAATGCGGTACTGCAGGCATTGTTTGCAGAAAAACAGGATCCCCCATTTATAGGGTAAATCCGTATGAATTCAATCACTTTTTGAAAGCATCCATTTTGATTTAAACAAAACTTTCCATACATGTTTGCCCATGGAAGAAGTAGTCAGAAAGGGGCTTTTTGGACCTGAATGCCAAAACATTCAGGGGATAGAGGTGCTCAAAGTTGACCCATTTTACATACTCCACCATACCATGAGAAATCCATGTCTTCATCACTGGAAAAGATAAACGGTTGAGTTAAATATATTTTAAAAGCTTAATCAGAGTTGTTAAACTTCGTTATTTTTTATTTTTTTTAAGAATACATGTTTAACCTTTAACTTCAATGATCTAAAAACGCGTAACCTCCGATTATTTTTATATTAGCATATTTTGTAGCTTAGACCCTACTTTATAAAATATTTATGGTTTTGTTCAAATCAAAAGGGGTGCTGTCAAAAAGTGATTGAATTCAAATGGATTTATTTACCCTATAGTGAATGGGAAAATGGCAATATTTGTGTATATATTATTTTCTTCTGAAGACAATCATGGTACCAATATTTGCTTCTATTACACCAAATGTATGTTCTTGAACTGATTATTAAAAAATCACACACAGAAGTTATAACGATCATTTTAGTTGCTATTGGCAGCCGTCAGTACCCCAGTCGGCCTTCAACTTGTTATACCCAATGAGAGGGGGCAGCACTGAGCAAGCCTGCAACGTCACTTCCTGGAGTAGCTCAAACTGCGCATTTTATGTATCCATTAGACGGCATCTTAACAAATGTTTTTGGCTTCAAATGCGCTATTGAGTCTTCACATAGGAATGAATGGTGTCACGTGATCAATTACTTTGTCAAATCATATACGTCATTGGCGTAGACACACATACACACACAGCTGAGCACTGATACAGTTACGAGGTACTGGTGTTTAGCCTGCTGCTTACTGAATTAGTATGGCCAACGATGGCAGCAAGAGCCACGCTGGCACAATGTGACCCAATGAGGCTGCTTCTTTCCACCCTAATAATGAGCCAAAGTCTGCTAATATTCAACAAAGTTAAACTGGACAAATTAATAATGATAAACAGAGCACACACTCACATGTGCATTTGAGGAAGTTCACAAATTCTATCAGTGATAGTTTTCCATGGAATGTCTGTTTCTGGATACTGTATTTATTTGTATTGAACCAGGAAGTCTGTTACAAATAGGCCTACACCGACAAACAACTATCCTTTTTATATCCTCATTTGTGCATTTATTCACAACTAGGCCTAATTATCCACAGGTTATTAGCTCAACTTTTCTACAGGTTTGAGATCTCCAGTCGTCCCTGTTTGTTCAGTATTTTTTTATTTGTCTGTTAATGGAAACTAGGCCAGTCATGTCACCACCCCCATGACCTTTGCTCCTTCCTATATTAAGACTGGGCCACAGTGTGTCTCTGAGCCAGAGTTTGGGTTGCACAACCTCTGCTCTTACATAACTGGGGGTGAGGGAAAAAATAAACACTTCACCAGACCAGACTCTGCTCTACACCCTCTGCATTCCACCCAACCACACATTTTGCTTAACAAATCACAAAGTTATATGGACTCACTCTGTGTGAAGTAATAGGGGTTGACATGATTTTTTAAATTACTAACCCTTCCTCTGTCCCCCATACATACATCTGTAAGGTCCCTCAGCCAAGTATAGCATTTCAAGCACAGATTCGACTACAAAGTCCAGGGAGCTTTTCGAAAGCCTCATAAAAAAGGACAGTGATTGGTAGATGGGTAACAATAACAAATCAGACATTGAATATCTCTTTAAGCATGGTCTAGCTAATTATGCTGTGCATTATACATGGCTTGACATATTACTTTTTTTTTGACACTTGTCCTTCGGACATGTAGAACAGATTTTTTTAAAACTTGTCCAATAGCTCAAATCACTTTTTTTGGTCTACGGTTCAAAACAGACTCTGGGACAGTTCTGGGACCACCGAGCTCAACAATGCGCACATGGCTGTTGGCTACATGCGAATGTTCCAAAATGCAAATAGCGGGAAAACACAGTTCTCAAAAGCGCACCCCACACACGAGCAGTTTCATGTGACAGAGATGAAAGTATCCATTAGAAATTAAGAAAGGGAATATCTAAAGATGCATCAACTAGCATGGCTAGTATTATGTGTTTGGCTGCAGGACAATTAAAGAACGTTGATTTGAAAGCCAATAGAACATGAGAAATGCTGGTTTCAATGGCATATTAAGTGTTTATAATACAATTCCTTCTACATTTCAGTGGTTGTATTTTGGCTAGGTACTTTGAAACAAGGTAAGACATACTTCATAAAATGACAAAACGTCCAGGTTTTAAACAATTAAGTTTATGGTTAAATAGTTTTAAAATGTTGACCACCTCCGCTCAGATTCAAGGTGGGTGATGTTGCCGTGCACAACAGGCACTGTCCTTCACGCTCTGGTCTTGTGACGATTTGATCTGCCTTTTAGACGTTAATGTTAATTATCATTCATTATGTTAGTCAAACATGACTGGCATTTAGCCTATATTTATGTAATTAAAAGTCTCATTAAAGTTTGGCTACATTTTCTGGCACCTCCGTCATGTCAGCATCGGTTTGGACATGAGGCTGTAGCCAATATGCATATCACCTACACTTTGACATGTAGTTTTGTATTTATTTATGTAGGCTACATGAAACAGATTTGAATATTATTCCAATGTTGGTCTCTCTGATCCAATTCTGATCGGAGTAATTGTTTGATATTGTGATTTCTGTGATTTTAAAGTTGTACTTGTCCATTCAGACAACTTAAATCTACAGTAAATTGTTCTTGTCTGACTTTTTTTTTTTTACTTGTCCCAGACAGGAGGACTAGCGTTATGTATTAAACCACCCAGACACCTCAAATATACAGTTGTCCTTTTGAACTGAGCTGCAGGACAGGAATGAAACTGCTCAGGGATGTTACTATGAGGCTATTGGTGATTCAATGGCTGTGATGGGAGAGAACTGAGGATAGATCAAAAACATTGTAGTGACTCCGCAATAAGGACTTAAATGACAGAGTGAAAAGAACACAAAAATACAAAATATTCAGCAAGGTTAGGCAGCAATGGTAGTGGCAACAAAGAATGACAGACAAAATTGTTGTTTGTTTCATAAAATAAGCTAATTAGTGCAGTTCCATTTCCTAATAAACAACTCTGGACAGGTACATCTCCCTTGTCTCACGTACCCCTAATATAGACAACAATCAATGTCTTATATATGCAAGACAATCACAGTATGGTACACAATAGACACCAAAAGGCAGACCATATACTATCCCGGGCATTTTCTTCTCACTCACTTTTGAGACATGAAACGGTTATATGTTTCAAATTCTTTGCTAACCAAGAAGACGGTGAATGTTCCTAAGTGGCCAAGTTACAGTTTTGACTTAAATCTGCTTGAAATATTATGGCAAGACTTGAACATTTCTGTCTAGCCATGATCCCCAACATCTGACAGAGCTTGAAGAATTAAAAAAATAATAATAGGGAAATATTACACAATCCAGGTGTGCAAAGCTCTAAGAGAATTACCCAAGAAGACTCACCTGTAATAATTGCTGCCAAAGGTGTTTCTAACATGTATGGACTAAGGGAGCTGAATACTTATGCAATGACCATTTTATATATATATATATATATATATATATATATATATATATACACACACACTGTACAGTGCGTTCGGAAAGTATTCAGACCCTTTGACTTTTTTCACATTTTGTTACGTTACAGCCTAATTCTAAAATGGATTAAATAAAACATTTTCCTCATCAATCTACACACAATAGCCCATAATGACAAAGCAAAAACTGGTTTTGCAAAAAACTAAAAGATACCTTATTTACATAAGTGTTCAGACCCTTTGCTATGAGACTTGAAATTGAGCTCAGGTGCATCCTGTTTCCATTGAACATCCTTGAGATGTTTCTACAACTTGATTGGAGTCCTACAAATTGATTGGACATTATTTGGAAAGGCACCCACCTGTCTATATATGTCTGCAGCATTGAAGGTCCCCAAGAACACAGTGGCTTCCATCATTCTTAAATGGAAGAAGTTTAGAACCTTCCAGAAGGACAACCGTTTCTGCAGCACTCCACCAATCAGGCCATTATGGGAGAATGGCCAGACGGAAGCCACTCCTCAGCAAAAGGCCCATGACAGCCTGCTTGGAGTTTGCCAAAAGGCACCTAAAGGACTCTCAGAATCTCTGGTCTGATGAAACCAAGATTGAACTCTTTGGCCTGAATGCCAAGCGTCACATCTGGAGGAAACCTGGCACCATCCCTACGGTGAAGCATGGTGGTGGCATTATCATGCTGTGGGGATGTTTTTCAGCGGCAGGGACTTGGAGACTAGTCAGGGAAGGGAAAGATGAACGGAGCAAAAGTACAGAGAGATCCTTGATGAAAACCTGCTCCAGAGCGCTCAGGACCTCAGACTGGGGCGTAGGCTCACCTTCCAACAGGACAACGACCCTAAGCACATAGCCAAGACAACACAGGAGTGGCTTCGGGACAAGTCTCTGAATGTCCTTGCGTGAACCAGCCTGAACCCGATTGAACATCTCTGGAGACACCTGAAAATAGCTGTGCAGCAACACTCCCCATCCGACCTGACAGCGCTTGAGAGGATCTGCAAAGAAGAATGGGAGAAACTCCCCAAATACAGATGTGCCAAGCTTTTAGCGTCATACCCAAGAAGACTCGAGGCGGTAATCACTGCCAAAGGTGCTTCAACTAAGTACTGAGTAAAGGGTCTGAATACTTATCTAAATGTGATATTACAGTTTATAATTTATAAAAAACTGTTTTTGCTTTTTCGTTATGGGGTACTGTGTGTAGATGTGGGGGGGAAACAATTTAATCAGTTTTAGAATAAGGCTGTAATTTTACAAAATGTGGAAAAAGTCAATGGGTCTGAATACTTTCCGAATGCACTGTATATATATAACAAAAATATAAATGCAACAATTTCAACGATTTTACTGAGTTACAGAAAATAGTCAATTGAAATAAATAAATGAGGCCTTATCTATGGATTTCACATGACTGGGCAGGGGCGCAGGCAAGGGTGGGCTAGGGCTAGGCGGTATACTGTATTTTACAATATACTGGTATTGATGCACGGACCGGTTTGGGTTTTTACTTTACCTTCTATAACGGTATTTGAATGTTTAGTTTGTCGAATGTTATACTCCGTGTGTAACGTCCATTTTTATAGTTTACTTCGCTACTTGAGTCATCTCTCCGCTCTCTCTCTCTCCGTGCCGCTTTCCACACAGACCTAGCCCTGCCCCCTGTCACTCAATGAGCACATTTTTTGTTCCTCGACCACGAGACACTTGCGTTCAGTCTCTGCATGGTCAATGCAGCACATGCAACAATGTTGATGACAATGATGCTGTTTTCACTTTGCTTCTTTAAATAAATCCACTAGCGTTCTATAATTACACTGTTGTGTTTCTTACATCTGCAAACAGCTAGTTTGTCTTTTTTTTAGCAAATTCGGCCTAAATCTTTGTTAGCTACCAATGCTAATCGCTAATGCTAATCGCTAGCTAGCTAATAAATGTACTGAGTCAGCGCAAATGTAACTAGCTATACAGCTTGATAATACCAGTGATGGTGTAGACCTACACCTGCATGTTTTTTGTGCAACAGCATCTTCTAAATCAAAGAGGAATACACAAAGCAAGAATGTTAGCTATTTGAAGTAGTTAAGAGAAAACATTAAATGTAGCCAAAGATTATAGGGTCCCCTAGGAAACACTTGTCAACACTTTGATTCCTACCCTATCACAATAACTCCTCCCAGGCATTTGCATTTGTTGTCATGTCAAACACTGTATTCAAAGTGGCCACTATTATATTTTAACTATAGAATTAGAATGATCATTCTATTTCCATGATTCCAACAGTTCACCCAAGTGTTTTGCTGAAAATCACAAGTCAAATCGCATTTGCAACATTTGGTTAAAAGTAAGGCCTAGATTGTTTGCCCATATTGTGCAGCCCTAAGTGGCAGTGTGGAAATTATCTCAAATGAGTGCAGAAATTGATGAAAATACTGAAAATAATTTTTGGTTGAATTGAACGGTATAAAACAATCAGAATGGAGAAAGACCCATTGAAATCACTTATAATGTATGTGTTGCCACCCTAGGTTCACACACTACTCATAAAGCAAATGTTTTACTTTTATTATTCAAAAACATCAAATACCGTCGTTTTTTTTAAAATACCGTGATATTATATTTTGGCCATATCGCCCAGCCCTAGGGGTAGGCCTGGGAGGCCATAGGTCCACCCACTTGGGAGCCAGGCCCAACCAATCAGAATTGGGTTTTCCCCACAAAAGGGCTTTATTACACACAGAAATACACTTCAGTTTCATCAGCTGTCAGGGTGGCTGGTCTCATACGTGGCTGGTCCCGCAGGTGAAGGCCGGATGTGTTCCTGGGCTGGCGTGGTTACACGTGGTCTGCGGTTGTGAGGCTGGTTGGACGTGCTGCCAAATTCTCTAAAACGATGTTGGAGGCGGCTTATGGTAGAGAAATGAACATTAAATTATCTGGCAACAGCTCTGGTGGACATTCCTGCAGTCAGCATGCCACCAACTTGAGACCTCTGTGGCATTGTGTTATGTGACAAAACTGCACATTTTAGAATAGCCTTTTATTGGCCCCAGCACAAGGTGCACCATCATGCTGTTTAATCAGCTTCTTGATATGCAACACTTGTCATGTGGATGGATTATGTTGGCAATGGAGAAATGCTCACTAACAGGGATGTAAAGTAAGAGATAAATAAGATTTTTGTCCCTATGGAACATTTCTGGGATCTTTTATTTCAGCTCATAGAACATGGGACCAACACTTTACATGTTGCGTTTATATTTTTGTTCAGTGTATACAGTGAGGGGAAAAAAGTATTTGATCCCCTGCTGATTTTGTACGTTTGCCCACTGACTAAGAAATGATCAGTCTATAATTTTAATGGTAGGTTTATTTGAACAGTGAGAGACAGAATAACAACAACAAAATCCAGAAAAACGCATGTCAAAAATGTTATAAATTGAATTGCATTTTAATGAGGGAAATAAGTATTTGACCCCCTCTCAATCAGAAAGATTTCTGGCTCCCAGGTGTCTTTTATACAGGCAACGAGCTGAGATTAATCTTAGATTGTTACCTGTATAAAAGACACCTGTCCACAGAAGCAATCAATCAATCAGATTCCAAACTCTCCACCATGGCCAATACCAAAGAGCTCTCCAAGGATGTCAGGGACAAGATTGTAGACCTACACAAGGCTGGAATGGGCTACAAGACCATCGCCAAGCAGCTTGGTGAGAAGGTGACAACAGTTGGTGGGATTATTCGCAAATGGAAGAAACACAAAATAACTGTCAATCTCCCTCGGCCTGGGGCTCCATGCAAGATCTCACCTCGTGGAGTTGCAATGATCATGAGAATGGTGAGGAATCAGCCCAGAACTACACAGGAGGATCTTGTCAATGATCTCAAGGCAGCTGGGACCATAGTCACCAAGAAAACAATTGGTAACACACTACGCCGTGAAGGACTGAAATCCTGCAGCGCCCGCAAGGTCCCCCTGCTCAAGAAAGCACATATACAGGCCTGTCTGAAGTTTGCCAATGAACATCTGAATGATTCAGAGGAGAACTGTGTGAAAGTGTTGTGGTCAGATGAGACCAAAATCGAGCTCTTTGGCATCAACTCAACTCGCTGTGTTTGGAGGAGGAGGAATGCTGCCTATGACCCCAAGAACACCATCCCCACCGTCAAACATGGAGGTGGAAACATTATGCTTTGGGGGTGTTTTTCTGCTAAGGGGACAGGACAACTTCACAGCATCAAAGGGACGATGGACGGGCCATGTATCGTCAAATCTTGGGTGAGAACCTCCTTCCCTCAGCCAGGGCATTGAAAATGGGTCGTGGATGGGTATTCCAGCATGACAATGACCCAAAACACACGGCCAAGGCAACAAAGGAGTGGCTCAAGAAGAAGAACATTAAGGTCCTGGAGTGGCCTAGCCAGTCTCCAGACCTTAATCCCTTAGAAAATCTGTGAAGGGAGCTGAAGGTTCGAGTTGCCAAACGTCAGCCTCGAAACCTTAATGACTTGGAGAAGATCTGCAAAGAGGAGTGGGACAAAATCCCTCCTGAGATGTGTGCAAACCTGGTGGCCAACAACAAGAAACGTCTGACCTCTGTGATTGCCAACAAGGGTTTTGCCACCAAGTACTAAGTCATGTTTTTCAGAGGGGTCAAATACTTAAATCCCTCATTAAAATGCAAATCAATTTATAACATTTTTGACGTGCATTTTTCTGGATTGTTTTGTTGTTATTCTGTCTCTCACTGTTCAAATAAACCTACCATTAAAATTATAGACTGATCATGTCTTTGTCAGTGGGCAAACGTGCAAAATCAGCAGGGGATCAAATACTTTTTTCCCTCACTGTATATATAAAAATATACTATGACAGAGTATTTTGTGTAGATTGTTGACAGAAAATGGCAATTAAATTAATTTTAATCCCACTTTGTAACACAATAAAATGTGAAGAAATCCAAGGGGTCTGAATACTTTTTCAAGGCACTGTATGTGTTATGGGTGTACCTGTAGATGGGATACTGTAGCCTACGTCATGCATGTGCAATGTTTGCAGTATCAGGGTTCACATTAGCTATCAGAAATCTGCAATTTAAAAACGCAGACCATTAAATTAAATCTGTGTTTTAAACCATTTCACCTGCGTTTTATAGTGAAAATCAACCGTGGTGTTTTGCTTCAATACTTATCTATAAGGGATGTGCAACTAACAGTGAAATGCTTACTTACGGACCCTTCCCAACAATGCAGAGAGAAAGAAAATAGAGAAATAATAGAAAAGTAAAACAGGTAATAATAAATATACAATGACTAACTATAACTTTGATATACACAGGGTACCAGTACCGAGTAGATGTGCAGGGGTACGAGGTAATTGAGGTAGATATGTACATATAACTGGGAATAAATTGACAGATAATAGACAGTAGCAGCAGCGTATGTGATGAGACAGAATGGTTTGTTCAAAAAGTCAATGCAGATAGTCCAGGGAGCTATTTGGTTAACTATTTAGCAGTCTTATGGCTTGGGGGTAGAAGCTGTTCAGGGTCCTGTTGGTTCCAGACTTGGTGCATCGGTACCGCTTGTCGTGCGGTAGCAGAGAACAGTCTATACATTTTTACATTTTTGTCATATAGCAGACGCTCTTATCCAGAGCGACTTACAGTTAGTGAGTGCATACATTTTCATACTGGCCCCCCGTGGGAATCGAACCCACAACCCTGGCGTTGCAAGCGCCATGCTCTACCAACTGAGCTACACAGGGCCCCTATGACTTGGGTGGCTGGAGTCTTTTTTTAGGGCCTTCCTCTGACACCACCTGGTATAGAGAGGTCATGGGTGGCAGGGAGCTCAACCCCAGTGATGTACTGGGCTGTACGCACTACCCTCTGTAGCGCCTTGCTGTCGGGTGGTAAGCAGTTGCCATACCATACGGTGATGCAGCGAGTCAAGATGCTCTCAATGGTGCTGCTTAGAACTTTTTTTATTATTAATTTTTTTACCCCTTTTTCTCCCCAATTTCATGATATCCAATTGGTAGTTAGTCTTGTCCCATCGCTGCAACTCCCGTACGGACTCAGGAGAGGTGAAGGTCGAGAGCCATGCGTCAGCCGAAACGCGACCCTGCCAAGCCGCACTGCTTCTTGACACACTGCACGCTTAACCCGGAAGCCAGCAGCACCAATGTGTCGGAGGAAACACTGTACAACTGGCGACCTTGTCAGCGTGCATGCGCCCGGCCCACCACAGGAGTCGCTAGAGCGCGATGGGACAAGGACATCCCGGCCGGCCAAACCCTCCCCTAACCCAGACGACGCTGGGCCAATTGTGCACCGCCTCATGGGTCTCCCAGTTGCGAACAGCTTGATGTTAGTCTTGCATTTTAACTTGCTACTGGAGAAAAACTATACCGCTGGAGGAAAGTACCAGAGAAAAGTAGCGTACACAACAGTCAGGGTGCAGTCTGGTGATCCAATAGCGAGGGCAAAGGTATTTCATCCGAGTGGAGAAGTGCAACTGAAGCACAAAATGTGTCCTTTTACATTCAGGATTTGGAGCGAACTCTGACTGAAGCCGAGCAGAATTTACAATAAGAAGCATTTTAGAGCTGCGTTTTCTAAACACAGCAAGATATTGTTTGTGGTTTTTCTTTCATTTTCTGTATGAAAACCCAAAATCCTGCATTAGCGCAACCCCTGGGTATTGAATTGGGGACATGACTAGTTTTACACAATACCCATGTCCTCCTTAGTCAGTAGCTAAATGGATGTCCACTTTTAATACAATGACAAAAGTTAACTCTTGTTTTTTTGTCTGTCTTTTTAGAATCGAGAGCTACTCCTGCAAGATGGCTGGTGATGACAAGCACATGTTTAAGCAATTTTGCCAGGAGGGGGAGCCACATGTCCTAGAGGCCCTCTCACCCCCCCAGTCCAGCGCCACCAGCCCGCCCCAGTAAGTACCACAGCCACATCCCTTATCAATGTTTACATAACACGGAAATCACACTAGGAATGAAACGGAGGCAAACGGGGAGGGACTGCCTGTTTTCCGTTGCAGAATGTTTTGCTATGTTGTGCACTAATGAATATGACTCTGTTGATACTGGTGTTGTGTCACAGTATTAGTCGCTTATGTGGCACACTAAGGGGGTGGCAGGTAGCCTAGCGGTTAAGAGCATTGGTCCAGTAACCTTAAGGTCGCTGGTTCGAATCCCTGAGCCCACAAGGTGAAAAATATGTCTGTGCCCTTGATAATAAATGTTTACTTCCCAACCAAATTACTGAACACTCTCCCTCTCTCTCTACTCATCTCCCTTGTTTTGTGCAGACTGGGGAAGAGCAGTGAGGACGGCGAAAACCCTCTGAGTGACAAGTGTTGCAGGAAGACCTTGTTCTACCTCATCACCACGCTCAACGAGTCGTTCAGGCCCGACTACGACTTCAGCGCAGCCCGGGCCCACGAGTTTAGCCGGGAGCCCAGCCTCAACTGGGTCAGTAGCAAAGCCTCTGCTCCTCTCATGATTACACCGCATTAGAATGACTTTAAACCAATCTAATTGGGCGGTCATTCAAGCCTCATTTCAGAATTGCCCACATACTCATAAACAGATACTTTGAATCATCCCATGCAAGTCCCGGAAGCACGTTGTTACAAAGCCATACACATAAGGGGAAGGTAGTGAGTTTTCTACAAGGGGCTTATGGAATATCTCAGGCTGTAAGATGGTGTGAAACTCAATTCCTGGAGGGCCATGTCTGCTGATTTGTTTTTATTTCCTTTCCGTTTTGTGTCTAATTAAGACCTAAACCACCAGGTGACTAAACAATAACCTTAATTATAACCTAACTAATCACAATAACCTTAGTTGATCAATCAAGTACAAAGGAGGAGTGACATGAAAACCCACAGACACTCCGCCCTCCAGGAATTGAGTTTGACACCCTTGCTGTAAGAGGTCTACACATCAGTGAGGAGAATAAGTATTCCTAATGATTGTGTGCCATGTCTCCACCAGGTGGCGAATGCAGTGAATAGCAGCCTGTACTCATCAGTTGGAGTGGAGTTCAACTCCCTGGGGCCGGAGCTGTGGAACTCCATCGACGAGGAAATTTGCCTGCAGGAATGTGACATATACAGGTGTGTGTGTCTGTGTATGACGGAATATTGTGGTCCCATGTGGCTCAGATGGTAGAGCATGACACTTGCAACGCCAGGATGGTGGATTCGATTATCACAGGGAATTTTATTTTTATGCATGCACTCACTACTGTAAGTCGCTCTGGATAAGAGCGTCTGCTAAATGACTAAAATGTCAACGTTAATGAATATGTATGTGCTGCTTGTTGTGTTTGCTGCCAGTATATGTAGTATATTTATATGTCCTTATTTGTCCTCAGCTACAACCCTGACCTGGACTCAGACCCCTTTGGGGAGGAAGGCAGCCTCTGGTCCTTCAACTACTTCTTCTACAATAAGAAGCTGAAGAGGATTGTATTCTTCACCTGTCGCTCCGTCAGGTGAGCAGCCACAGCAGGCTTCATTCTGGCTCCATTATCAATGCAATCTGTGACAATACACATATGAGTTTGTTAGTTCTACAGCCAGTCTGAAATAGCTGGTGGCCTGTGGATGACTTTCTATAGTCCACTGTGTATGTTATAAAATCGGAAAATCTGTCTCATGTTGCTGGTATGAATTGCTCACACCAAACCAGTATAGTACGCTGGTTCTGGGGGGTGGCTTTTACCATACAGCAGCAGGAGTTGATTGGGCTTGATGTGCCGAGGCCGCTTGTACACAACCCAAAGCCTGTCTGGTCTCAGGCGGTGTGAGACTGTTATCCACTACCAGGAGGACAAAAGGCCAGGGAAGGGGACTAACAGATCAACTTCAAATCCTCCACAAACAATCTATCAATCAGAGCAACCACATGGACCGGTATGTTTGAATAATGAGGCAGGATTTTTCTGCTTTATTTCCGCAGTGTCTTGAGTGGGTATGGCCGCGGTTGTCTGGACAACGAGTTGGACATGGAGCTGGATGATGAAGAGGAGATGGATGGATTCACTGAGGACAGGTGGGATCATGTTACTATAATAATGTTACTACCTGCTTATAGTCTTCTAGTGCACCAATGGGCCTCAGTCTTACATATATACTTTTGTCTGTGCATGGGGTTACATTTGGGTTTCGTGTCTAAATGGAGCCATGATTGACACTACCTTGTTCTCTCCCTGTCTGCAGGTTCCCCAGAGCTCTTTGTGTCTAATGCTATAGAGATGGAAGACACGCCCAGGCCAAACACAACCTCCTCCCCCTTTCCCCTTTCCCCTTTCCCCTATCCTGTTTCTTTTTTCTGTTTATTTCTTTGTCTCAATGTTCTGTATAGCCTGACCCATGTAGAGGAAATGCATTCACCCCCCCATTGACAAGTGCATGTTTCACGCCTTTCACATCAGCTGGATCCGACGTATAACGTGAAGGACATTTTCTAAATGCCCAAGTCTCCTGTTGATTGTGCTCCCTCTATCCTCCATTGTCACAGAGCTAAGAACTGACTGTGCCTGATCATTTGATGGAAGGACCTTCCTATGCCTCTCAAACCACATCCTCTTGACTCCAAACCAGCCTCTGCTTGGATGCTGCACTCTCAAAGAAACCCTCCCAATTCCTATTGGACCTGTCTTGGATATTTATGGTCAAGAGAGGCCATGGACAGCTAACCCTGACAAGCAAGAATCCTCTTTTATTGAAGATCGCAGCAAATGATGTCACAGAAACCAGTGTGTAAGTGGAGATAGAAGTCCACAGTGCAACACCAGCATCAGCGAGAGCCATGGAAGGGGAGGGGAGGGGCTAATTACATCAAACCCCTCCTCCAATCCCACACTGCCACACTGGGTGGAGGGTGGGACAACGACAGCTAATTCGATTGACTATCTATCCAGTTGATTTCCATTTGTGACTGCGTCCTTTGTGTGACTTTTATGCTTGACAGTGATGTTACTGTGAGAACTTTTATAGCTCCAAGTTTTGAAACAAATGCTGCTTTTGTAATGGAAACATTGTAATATGTTATGTTGTCTTATTACTGGACATGACCTGTGTAGATGGGATATTGAGATGACACTGCCAAGGAAAGCATTATGACATCAGACTTGCAGCTTATACAAGATAGCACTTTCATGAGCTCCTCTGTCACAATGTTCTGTCTATCAATAACCATATTCCTCAATGTGTGATATTCTGGTTCCCTTATGATTGAGTTAGGCTAACCTATTGTAAAACTTGTACCCATTTTCCACTGCTACAATCATCCATTTATTTTATGCTCAAACATTACAAAGGCTTTGATGTAAAGCCAAGTGAATGTACTGAACACAGGCAGCAAAGGCATCAGTGATATTTCCAGTAATGTTATTAAAATGTTTTACAGTATTTTTTAGAAAGAAAGACCCTTTTATCTCTGTGTTCCCTGTGTAAGGCTTGTGAACTACCATGATGACTTCTATTCAGGACTTGTTTTGATTATACAGTATATGTTAATAAAGTTGTGTTTGAACCAAATAGTGTCCTCTGTGTTGTCATAGAGAGTGGTGTGGACACAGGCAACTCACCCAACATAGGCAACACATCCCACTCACAGGGAAGAAAATGACCAAAATGAAAATGTTTTGAACAGTAATGACAACAATGATACAGCAATGTAAGGTATAGTTAACCATGTTTCCTACAAGAGGAACGTGTTATTTAGACTCAAAGTGTTCCTATGGACATTGTTGACTGGAGCCTGGCTAATGCAAAGAAACGTGGAAGGGGCTTTAAACTCGGTCCTGGTCCCCCCGGGGGCAAGTTTTTTTTTTTGGGGGGGGGGCGGGGTGCAGGACCGAGTTTGGGTAACCATGCTCTACAGGACATTGGCTAAATGTTAACCACTGTAAATTAATTTGAGGAAGTTCTTTAAAAATGCAACTAATTATTTCAATAATTCAAAGAATAGCTGACTTTTACTTATTTCAGTCTTAAATCAGTAATATTATAGGAGGCTGGGATGAGATCTCTGATGTTCCAGGTGATACAGTATTCCAGGTCTGGTTTACTGAGCTCTTCATGGCAGAAGTCACATGATGATGGAAGTTGGGAGAGTTATATTTGAGTGTTTCAGTGAAACGTAAGTGAGGGAGGCCCCGCTCTCTCGCTTTCCCAGATGTTTAGTTCATTTCATTCCGATCTACTTTGCATTATTGTAGCCTTTTTCTGTAGCCTGTCAACTATGTGTCTGTCTATCCCTGTTCTCTCCTCTCTGCACAGGCCATACAAACGATTCACACCGCGTGGCTGCTGCCACTCTAATCTGGTGGTCCCTGAGCGCACGACCCACGTGGAGTTCCAGGTCTCCGGCAGCCTCTGGAACTGCCGTTCTGGAGAGTTCATCTCAGCCTATGCTACCCTCCAGTCCCTCGACTTCTTGGCGCTGACGGAAACATGGATTACCACAGAAAACACTGCTACTCCTACTGCTCTTTCCTCGTCTCACCATGTGTTCTCGCATACCCCGAGAGCATCTGGTCAGCGCGGCGGTGGCACAGGAATCCTCATCTCTCCCAAGTGGACATTCTCTCTTTCTCCCCTGACCCATCTGTCTATCTCCTCATTTGAATTCCATGCTGTCACAGTCACAAGCCCATTCAAGCTTAACATCCTTATAATTTTATCGCTCTTTTCTCACATTTGTTGTGTTTTTTCTACTTTTTTTTTTAAAAATCCTTGGTTAAGGTCTAATGAGCATTTCACTGTAAGTCTGCCCTTTTGATCGCGATGTGACCATACAACTCTTATTATTGTTTGTTGATTTATCGCCGTCCCTGAATTCATCATGGCTTGACCTGATATTCCTTCCTGATGCTCACCCTCCAGTCTGTGCTTTACCTCCCTACTCCTTTCACTCATTTCTACTCCCTTCATCTTCCTCTTTTGACCTCACCGTCTCACCGTCCCCCCCTACTCACAAGGCAGGCAATACGCTTGACCTCATCTTTACTTGATGCTGTTCTTCTACTAATCTCACTGCAACTCCCCTCCAAGTCTCCGACCACTACTTTGTATCCTTTTCTCTCTCGCTCTCCTCCAACACTACTCACTCTGCCCCTACTCAGATGGTAATGTGCCGTCGCAACCTTCGCTCTCTCTCTCCCGCTACTCTCTCCTCTTCCATCCTATCATCTCTTCCCTCTGCTAAATCCTTCTCCCTCCGATCTCCTGATTCTGCCTCCTCAACCCTCCTCTCCTCCCTTTCTGCATCTTTTGACTCTCTATGTCCCCTATCCTCCCGGCCGGATCGGTCCTCCCCTCCTGCTCCGTGGCTTGATGACTCATTGCGAGCCACAAGAAGAGGGCTCCGGGCAGCCGAGAGGAAAACTAGACTCCCTGCGGACCTGTCATCTTTTCACTCCCTCCTCTCTACATTCTCTTCCTCTGTTTCCGCTGCTAAAGCCACTTTCTACCACTCTAAATTCCAAGCCTCTGCCTCTAACCCTAGGAAGATCTTTGCCACCTTCTCCTCCCTGCTGAATCCCCCTCCTCGTCCCTCTCCCTCATCCCTCTCTGTGGATGACTTCGTCAACCATTTTGAAAAGAAGGTTGACGACATCCGATCCTCATTTATTAAGTCAAATGACACTGTTGGTCCTGCTCACACTGCCTACCCTATGCTTTGACTTCTTTCTCCCCTCTCTCTCCAGATGAAATCTTGCGACTTGTGACGGCCGGCCACCCAACAACCTGCCCGCTTGACCCTATCCCCTCCTCTCTTCTCCAGACCATTTCCGGAGACCTTCTCCCTTACCTCACCTCGCTCATCAACTCATCCTTGACCGCTGGTCATGTCCCTTCCATCTTCAAGAGAGCGAGAGTTGCACCCCTCCTCAAAAAACCTACACTCAATCCCTCCGATGTCAACAACTACAGACCAGTATCCCTTCTTTCTTTTCTCTCCAAAACTCTTGAGCGTGCCGTCTCTAGCCAACTCTCCTGCTATCTCTCTCAGAATGACCTTGATCCAAACCAGTCAGGTTTCAAGACTGGTCGTTCAACTGAGACTGCTCTTCTCTGTGTCACGGAGGCTCTCCGCACTGCTAAAGCTAACTCTCTCTCCTCTGCTCTTATCCTTCTAGACCTATCCGCTGCCTTTGATACTGTGAACCATCAGATCCTCCTCTCCACCCACTCCGAGTTGGGCATCTCCGGCGCTGCTCACTCTTGGATTGCGTCCTACCTGACAGGTCGTTCCTACCAGGTGGCGTGGCGAGAATCTGTCTCTGCACCGCGTTGCTCTCACCACTGGTGTCCCCCGGGGCTCAGTTCTAGGCCCTCTCCTATTCTCTCTATACACCAAGTCACTTGGCTCTGTCATATCCTCACATGGTCTCTCCTATCATTGCTACGCAGACGTCACACAATTAATTTTCTTCTGATAACCAGGTGGCGAATCGCATCTCTGCATGTCTGGCAGACATATCAGTGTGGATGTCGGATCACCACCTCAAGCTGAACCTCGGCAAGACGGAGCTGCTCTTCCTCCCGGGGAAGGACTGCCCGCTCCATGATCTCCCTATCACGGTTGACAATTCCATTGTGTCCTCCTCCCAGAGTGCAAAGAACCTAGGCGTGACCCTGGACAATACGCTGTCGTTCTCCGCTAACATCAAAGCGGTGACCCAATCCTGCAGGTTCATGCTCTACAACATTTGCAGAGTACGACCCTACCTTACACAGAAAGCGGCACAGGTCCTAATCCAGGCACTTGTCATCTCCCGTCTGGATTACTGCAACTCGCTGTTGGCTGGGCTCCCTGCCTGTGCCATTAAACCCCTTCAACTTATCCAGAACGCTGCAGCCCGTCTGGTGTTCAACCCAAGTTCTCTCATGTCACCCCGCTCCTCCGCACACTCCACTGGCTTCCAGTTGAGGCTCGCATCTACTACAAGACCATGGTGCTTGCCTACGGAGTTGTGAGGGGAAAGGCACCTCCTTACCTTCAGGCTCTGATCAGACCCTACACCCAAACAAGGGCACTACGTTCATCCACCTCTGGCCTGCTAGCTCCCCTACCTCTACGGAAGCACAGTTCCCGCTCAGCCCAGTCAAAGCTATTCGCTGCTGTGGCACCCCAATGGTGGAACAAGCTCCCCCACGACGCCAGGACAGCGGAGTCACTGACCACCTTCCGGAGACATTTGAAAACCCTACCTCTTTAAGGAATACCTGGAA